ATCCCCAAAAAGTCCATTTTAGTGCATGATAATTTTTAAGGTAAAATAAAAGATTCTTTAATTCTTCTGCAGATAACTGGTTAACTAAATAGGGCTAAAAAAAGTTACAACCTTACCTCTTGATATATATCAAAATACATTCCAAAGAAACTAAAAAGTTAAATGTAAATTATGAAGTAATACTGATCCTCTTAATATACATGAAGCTCTGACAAATAAAAAAATGAACACTTTCAGAGAAAAATGCACCAAGACATGAAGAAACAAGAATTAAATATATGAAAAAGTCTTATCTCACCAATAATCAAATAAATGAACAATCAAGCAATGAGCTAATATTTTTTGTCAACTGGATTACAAAAACACAAAACCTTAAAAGAATAATAACACCAATAATGGCAAGGGTGGGAAAAGGAACCAAAAGAAAGCTACAGTTTGACATGTTAAGTGTTATTACATTTCCTGAAGGTAATTTGGAATATATGTCAAAACCCTCAACTCACACACACATACTCTTTTTACATTTTCAGGAATTTACTAAGAAACTAATTAGACTAGTACAGAAAAATGTATGCAGAAGAGTCATAACATCATTATTTATAATAATGAAAAACAAATAATTTAAAAAGATAAATTATTATCCTATGACGTGGGAAACAAAGACAAAAGAAAAATTAAATTTCCTTACTACTTACAGCCCATTGATAAATCCTTCAAACAGGCAGAGTGACATTCCTTTAGGAACTCAGCTACCTTGATTTGATACTTTGCCAAGGGCAAAAGGCAATCTTAGCTTAACATTATCCCAACCCCCCCAGGATCCTGTAAGTCTACTTTAACACATAAAATTCCTTTAGAAACTTCCTTTATCTCTATCCCCCAAGATATATGTTAGCAATCATCTCCCAAGCATACAACCCATACTTCTGAAGGGTCTCATGACTAGGGTTTTACTAGACAGTAATAAATGGCCTTTTCCTAATAACAGCTAGCCTTTGAGGTCCTGGAAACCTTGCTCCCAAAATTCCTTAAGAGACTTACGCTATCCCTAACCCCCTCCCAACTTGAAAGTATATAATCAGCCACTCCTCATGACCCTGGTACAGCTCTTTCTCCATGGGTCCTGTCCCCATGCTGTAATAAAACCACCCTTTTGTACCCAAGATGTCTCAAGAATACTTTCTTGGGGGGCGCCTGGGTGGCTCAGCTGGTTAAGCGACTGCCTTCGGCTCAGATCATGATCCTGGAGTCCCGGGATCAAGTCCCGCATAGAGCTCCCTGCTCAGCAGGGAGTCTGCTTCTCCCTCTGACCCTCCTCCCTCTCATGCTCTCTGTCTCTCATTCTCTCTCTCTCTCTCTCAAATCAATAAATAAAATCTAAAAAACAAATTTAAAAAAAGAGTACTTTCTTGGCTATTGGCTCCAAACCCTACCACTTCAAACCACATCCTTATATATCCATATAATAGAATACTAAGCAGTCATTAAAAATCAAGTTATCTGAACTGTTAATTGAAATAAGATTATGCTGGGGCACCTGGGTGGCTCAGTCGTTAAGTGTCTGCCT